TCCTCCCTCCCTCCCTCCCTCCCTTCCTTCTCATTTTCTTTTCAAACCATAAGAACCTAGAAAATAACTGAATGAATGAGTCCCATAAAATATTCATGGAATTTAATTGAATTTATGGTGCACCTTACTTTAAGGAATGATCTATCAGATCAGCTATAGTATTGTTCGTTGATGGACACATGGGAACTTGAGGAAAGATTAAGTAAACAGTTGGGTGATCATTCATCTTCAAAAATAGATTTACAAGGGAACATTTTTATTCTGGACAGGCAGTTATAACCAATGCTGGTTTTATAGGAGCAATACATGAAGAAAAAGTCATGACAGCAAAATAGCTCCTTAAAATCTGCATTTAGGTAGAGGGCAAAGGTAAATATAGCAAGAACTACTCCATATATGAATACATATCATTATTAACATCTTGATATACACCAAATGCTGTGTTAATAATAAAGTAGAAGCCATTTTTTTCTGAAACAATCAGAACTTTTCCAGCATAATCAAATGAGATTCAGTTTTGCAAAGACATTCCAGGGGTCATGACTTTTTCTAAGAGTTTCTCTGAATTCCTGGAGATTAAAATCAATTATTTTTTTTTAATCCGTGGTGTTGTGATCTTGGTTAATTCTCTCTTCTTGCATTGTGAATGTATCTAAGCCAGATCTTTGTAAATGTCTTTGAATATAATTCAAGGAAGTCGCTTTCCTGAAACTTCTGCAATATTTATAATTTCACTTTACAAATGATTTGCAGCATTCAGTGGAAGCCTTCTTCAGCAAGTCATAAAAATGAAAATACATCTTAACTTTAAACGTTTAGGTCAGTATTTCTTCCACCAGCCATTCAATGAAGGGCTAAGGCCTTGCCTTCAGATATGGGTCCATAAAACAGACTTCTGTATCATCTTTCTTTCATAAACTACACCCATAATACGTTTATACATATTCCTATGACTTTTGTTTTTTGCCCCATTTGAAGGGAAAGAAAATATAAAGAGCAGGAACAGTAATCTGAAGGCAAAACTTTCCTAGATTATTAAGTGTTCTCCAATATTTTACAAAAGTGTTGCGCATACAACTTTGGAATCTTGCTTTTCTCATCTCTTCTAACATATTCACTTATTTTCACAATTTTTCTTTTCAAAATCACATTTTGAATTACACAGCCTTGGTTAATCCATTAATTCCACCAGAACAGACAACTTTGGGAGTCAATGCAACTGATTGTTGGCACACATAAAATTTAACTCATGCTTGGCACATATAAAATTTAACTTCTGCTTTATATGCAGAAGGTCCTGAGTTCACGCCCCACTGGAGCCATGGTCCATGGTCTGTGGCTATGCCACCCTAAACAAGCCCGATGTCTGATCTTAGAAGCTAAGCAGGGTTGGGCCTGGTTAGTACTTGAATGGAGACTACCTAGGAAGACCAGATGCTGTAGGCATTAAATTAAAAACAAAAACAAACAAACAAAACCAACAAAAAAAAACACCTTCCACTGTACTTCAAATGTAAATTTAATGACAAATCCTATGAGTTTGGTACATTTATTTGTGAGGGATTGATTTTATTTTCTCTCTTCTTGTGTTTCTGAGCAGACCCATAACATAAGGACTTCTGTCTTCTTGGGAATATTAGGAAGGCTCTAAAGTCCTTGTTTTTTTTCCTCCCCACCTACTCACTCTTCCTTAAGAGACGTAGAATGTATAAACTGATTGACATGGGAGGGATTGGCTAAGTTGTCCTGAGCACATGGAACCCACTTCGATTTTCCATTCTCTTTCAGATCCAGCCAGCTCTTGGGATGGACAAGTCCTCAAATGCACGCCATGAGTTTCTTCCCATGGTAAGAGAGACCAGCTGTTGATTAATGGCTTTGCCAGTCTTGAGTTCATTCATTTCTGGGAGAAGTAGATGGGGGCCTATTTTTTCTTGGGCCTAAGCATAGTTCTCCATTCCAGATTCATGGACAGAGGGTGCGACTAATTTGACAAAATGTTAAATGTATTCTTCTTACTATACCCACCATTTTATTATAACTAGGTGTTTTGTTTTCTTGTGAAAAATTGCAGAGAGGTAGGCATTAGTGTTATCTTTGCGTTATGGGTGAGTTTGACTATAGCAGAAATTAGATGTCTAGTTGAGTTTCTTATAGCTAGTAGGAAGGAGGGCTGACATTTGAATCCATTCTTCATTGTCTTAACACTTTGGTATTGGACATTATGCATGTGGGTGATATGTGAACAAACGGTTACAGTCCCTACCTATGTGGAGTTTATAGCTCAGAGAGGAAGACAAATGTTAATTAAGTAATCATAAAAATAATTATGTAATTATAAGCTGCAAGAATATCCTCAAAATCTATTCCCTTAACCACTATATACTATCTTGCTTTGACTTAGAGATTTGCTAGTACTTGAATTTATATTATTCTTTTGTCTTTTATCTTTTTATTGAATCATTCTGTCATTCTTAATTTGATTGCTTTATTATGACCAACTGACACATAAGCAGACCTGAAAACCATTGATGTGGTAAGATCATGAGGGTGTTTGGGATGCTCTTTGCTCCCGGCCACCCGCATCCTACTGCCCGTCTGATCCCATAACAGGGACACTGATGGTTTCTAACATCTAGACCAAGAAGTCAAATTCTCTGTCAGAGAATGTTAATTGTAGAAAGGAAACTTAGAGAACATCCACCTGAGCCCCCTTATATTACAGAAGAGGAGATGTCCCATAGCTTGTAGATGTTAAGTGATCCTCTGAAGGTCACATGGTCTGTAGAGGAGGGTTACCAAAGTCGAGTCTACAGGCTCCCAGTCCAGTGGACTGCTACTATATCTTTTGAAACATTTGTTTAAGTTCCCTTTTCAGTGAGATTACCTGAAAGCAGAACTATTTTTAAGAAGGGGTTGTGGTAAAGCAAACTTTTCAGTGTGCTTTAATTGACAGAAGAAGATAGGGGTTGGAGTTGAGGGGCTGGACATTGAGCTTTATCCTTGGGATAATTTCCCTGGTATGAGATTCCCAAACGAAGAACGTGTTTATTTTTCCCCGTTTTCGAAGTGTACAGAGTGAATCTGTGTAACTGGTAAGTTAGTAAAACACACTTCCTCATTTGCTCAGCTTCTTCATTTGTGAAATGGGGGGTGACGATACCACACAGCCCATGGGTTGTGATAAGAATTAAATGATGTGATGTATTTAAATGATTTAGCACAGTGCCAGACATATAGAACACACCCAATAAGTATTGTCTTCTGTGGTTGCGTCGTTGATGTTATTGCTATTGTTTTCTTGCTATGTTGGCATATAATGTTTCAAATAAATAATTTTAAAATTTAATGCCAAGGTAGGGAGGCAATGAAGGAGGAAAAGGGGCATATGTTTTAGCAAAAAGCTTCTAATGTAAATTCAATTTTATTCTAATTCCAACCGGATTGGAAACCACTGCTTTAAAGGTTCGTCGCATTTCAATATCTATTTTAGTGCCTTACCTGAGGGAGCTCTATGAGGAGTTATGTGTTTAAGAGTCTCTATACACAAACTTATTATAATTGGCAAAAGAGTAAACTGAATCAAGGTTAGTTCATGGAAGAGTCTTGTCTAGACTTCAAGTCTCTTTAGCCCTAATCTGCTTCTCCATCCTAGACAGTGGAACCAACCAAAACACGATATCTTCTTTTCAGCCTCCAGCTGAAGCTTTTCAGTTTACAGCAGACTTTTCTTCCAGTCTTATTCAGATGATCTGCCTAACCTTCCCATCCAACCCGATCCCATTTCCATTTCCATTTTTCTGACTTCAGGCCCTGCCACTTGATGAAGGCAAAATGTTTTCCCTACCAATTAGTTTAGCGGAAACCTCACATGTTTGATATTGTAGCAGACAATGTTTCATTATGCTCTGTTGATTTGAACAGAGAAATCACTGTTCCTGGAGGCAGGCAAAGCGCACTCTGAAGGGTAGAGTTACTGAATTACAGCCCAGAACAGGAGACCACAAGGGAGGCTGGACTCCAGTGAGAAAAGGTATCAGCAAGTGTGGGCACATAGGAATGCTTAAGAAAAGATTTTATGATCAGCATCAATAGATGTGTGTGTGTGTTTTATGAATAAGAATAAGTGCATTCATGTTCCTAAAGTGCTTTCAAATTCTCTAGCTAAAAGGTGCTCTTCAGGTTTTCTCGTGAGGCTCTCCCTGAAATAATATGCCATTTTATACGTAGGAAATGGTGAGTCAGAGTTTCCCCGGTCTCCTAAACACTAGTGGGAAGTTGGAGTGTAATTACTTTAGATCCTGAAACTCTGTTTTATAGTATTTCTGCAGCAAAGAAACCTAAAACCAGTGGACAAAAATTATTTCAGATTCTCCATGTCTAAAATATACAACCAGTAGTCACTTACAAAATAAATCAATACATACAGTTTCTCTTTTGGGGTGAAGAGTTTGAAGAGATAAATAGGCCAAAGGGTAGGAGAAGAACTTTCCAGGTGGAAGAGTCCAATGATAGAATAGCCTAAAGGCAAAAGGCATCATGGTTGTTGGAACATCGTTTGTAGGCAGTAGATGACTGAAAACAAAGTTGGAGAGACAGAGAACTATCCGAAGTGTCTCGTGTGCCAGGTTAAATCTCATTCAATCAAAAGAATAGTTCAGTGTACACTTTAAACTTGTATTATGTACGTTTACATTTATAATTTACATATTCTACCAAGTTCTTCTTTTATGAAACTAGATCATCTACATCCATTTTCATTCTTCCCATACTCTTTGGATTGTTCCAGTATATCTCAAACTTTGAGTTTATCATTATTGTTAAAAACAACACTAATTATCAGAACAACTTTTAATTTCATTATGTCCTTTGATCTCCTTGATAACACTGTGAATATAACACCCACCATTGCTTTGATTATATCTATTATATAGATGGAAACCCTGAGGCCTAGAGAGAATACATGACACAAGAAGTGGGATAGCAGGTGTCTTTGTGATAGTCTTAGTTAGGACCATTCAATTTTCGAATGTCCTGCGTATTTCTTTCCAGAGCCACCCGCCGCGCCCC